AATAAACCTATCATAATCAGCCAGACTCTAATATAAAGCCATGCAATCAACTAAGGCTTCGTTTGGGACGGCTGTCATATTGCTTCTTAAAACAACTTTCTAGTACAAAAATTAAGAAAGTTGTTTTAAGAAGCAGTTAGAAAGCTGTCTCAAATGAAGCATAATCCTAAAAGTGTTCAGCTTACCACCAATCTATTCTCATTATCAATTTCATGCAGAGTGATAGCAGCATTTTCACTTTGAATTGGATTCTGTCCTGATGGTGTATCTAGATTGTTCTTCATTGGTAAGCATTCATTTGAGTCCTCTAATCTGATGCTGGGTTTTCCACAGGGAGATCTCAATGACGCACTTTCTAAATTATCAATCTTCTTTGCTAATGTTTTTTTAAGACTGTTTACTTCACTGGAGAGCTCATTTGCTGTTAAAACAGCAGACAATATTAAGGCTCAAATAAGTAATAAAACATTCTAATGACTATGAACTAGCGTTGTAATTATATCACAATTAAATAAACTACATCAATATAGTACCCAAGCAGTAATCTTTAAATGTAAGATCACAGAAAATCTTAATATATGCCACATGTATTGACTTCAATAATCATAAAAATCAGTACATACATACATTAATTACATAGATAAATTATGTATCAAAGAAGCATCATAATCTTGTTGTGTATAATTTATTATGGAATTGGAGGGAATACATCTAATATCAAAATGAGTTTTATGGACTGAAGAAATGAAGTGAACGAGCTTGACAGATAAACCTTGAGATTCCCAAAACCATAGCGGCAACTTTAAATGGAAAATAAAAGGGATCTAAACTATTTAGATACATTTAGAATGAAGCTATTACAAATCAAATAGCATAAGAATTTGCTTTGAACTCCTTTCATTCATTGGTAAACCTATATTATTCAATGATGCAAGGAACTAAATGTAGTAAACTTTGGCAAGTTTTCAGGATATAGAAGACTAATTTAGAATGAACACTCCAAGCCATAGGGGAACTTATTAAATCCTGCCAATTCAAAAGATGAACATAAAACCAATAGGAACTAGACATTCAGTGAACAAAATTGTTACATACTTTTCTGTCTCTCTTTAAGCAGAAGCTCCTGGCTCTCTTGGTATTGCTCCTGCATGGAAACTCTGCAAACAGTCAACAGGTAACTTATAATTTGCATGGTCTCTTATTTGATCTCTACGATATCATGAAGTTTCTGGAAGATTTATCCACAATCACATCT